TTTCAACTCCTGGTTGAGCCTCTCCGTTTGTCCATCAGTCTGCGGATAGAACACTGCTGATAACTTGGGTTTGTGCCCAGCATCCGGCATAGTTTTTTTTTGTAAATTTGTTAGCAAATTGGGGTCCCTTATCGGAGATAACTGTTTCTGGAAACCTGTGGGTGGACCATACAAAATCTTTAAATAAGTCTGCTATACCAGCGGCTGTGATAGTTTTATTCTTGGGAATAAATACCGCTTCTTTGGAGAAGCGATCTACTACCACCATTACTGAATCATTCGACTTGGGTAGATCCATTGTGAAATCAACCAATATATCCTGCCAGGGACCAGTGGGTATCAGATTTGGCATAAGTTTACCGGCTGGCAGTTGATGCAAGTTCTTTGCCATGGCACATCTCAGACAGGACTTTACGTATTCCTGTACGTCTTTGACCATGCCAGGCCACATGTAATATGTGGAGATCAGCTCCACTGTTTGTTGCTATTCAGGGTGCTTTAAGGACCATTTACGTGTTCTTATCTTTTTGTTCCATGTCTTGGTTCTCAGACACTTTCCCCATTACACCTCTGGCTCTAGGGCTAGAGGTATCCTTTGCCATTTTGCTTCTCATAGCCCTAACAGGCTTTCTTAACCATTGCTACCACTTCATATTGCAGATCAGAGACTGGGTAGTACTCCCAGCCAGCCAGCACAATGGGTAAGGACTAGTAGCTGAGATCTTGCCAACCAGCTCCAAGTTATGTGATGACAAAAACTGTAAATGAAAAGACTCTAAAGGAATGTGTAAGTATGTGTTTAATTGTAATAATGATGTTACTATACCTCAGTCTTTCTGGTAGATGACTGAGGTGTCTAAGGTAGGATGAGTGCGCTTTTCTGTATCCTAATTAGGAAACTTATGTAATGTATTAAAATGTCGGAATAGTTGAATGAAAACGAATGAAAGAATGGCAAATCTATAGTAGTGTCCATGATATGCCAACACACCCCCTCAAACCAAACTCAATCCCATCATCTTAACAAAATATTCTAGCTTGGGTCGAGCCAGTGGTTTTGTAAGGCAATTTGAAGGCATTTCTTCAGTAGGACAGTAGAATATTTGAATTGCTTTGTTTTCTACAGTTTGTTGAAAAAAATGGAAGCGGATGTCAATGTGTTTGGTCCTCGAGTGGTACACATTGTTCTTTGTCAGCTCTATAGCACCATGGTTGTCGCTGTGCAGAGGGACTGGTGGTTGCAGTGATTTATTGGTGATTTCGGCCCATGTATTTGTGAGCCAGATTGTCTCTTTGGTTGCATGTGTCAGCGCAACGTATTCGGCTTCTGTTCTTGATAGAGTGACTATTGGTTGGGTTTTGCTATTCCAGGACACGGCACCACCGTTTATGCGGAAAACGTAGCCAGATAGAGAGTGTTGATGGGCATGTGAAGCATAGTCAGTGTCCGAGAAACCGATCAGTCCTTCTTGACTCTGACCAATTAGTAAGCGGTGGTTCCTATTGGATTTAGCCATGTGACCTCACATAGCCACCTGACCACAGGGAGTGCATAAAAGCAAAGTGGACCAGCTGGGGATTGAACCCAGGACCTCTGCCTATATATGGCGGTGCTCTAACCAACTGAGCTATCAGCCCTTGTACTAATGTCAACTCTTGACATGTGTTGTCTAACAAGGCTAACAGGCTTTGACCTTGACTATTCCAACAGTTCCTTGTTGCCTTAAGGTATCTGAACACTTGTTTGGCTGCTTCCCAGTGTGTATGTCCTGGATTTTGGAGAAAACATGATAGGGATGAGATAGCAAAGGAGATGTCAGGTCTGGTTGCAAGGGATAGATACTTCAGAGAGCCAATGGCTTCTCTGTAGGTTATGTTTTTCATCTCATCTATTTTGGTTGGTGTTGAAGATGATTGGGATGTGTTGAATAGAAAACCAGGTTCTATGGGGGTAGAGATCGGTTTGACATCTTCTAGATTGAATCTTTTTAGGATGGTGTTGATGTAGACTTGTTGACCAAGTGAGACTGTGTGGTTTTGTCGATCTCGTTTGATCTCGATGCCAAGCAACCAGTTTATTTCTCCAATGTTCGTTATCTCATACTCATCTTTTATTCCCCTCTTAAATTTTTTGAACTTCCCGTGATTGCCATGTCATCAATAGAGACAGAAACAACAATTCCACCAGCATCCTCATATTGCAGGAATAGTGCATGGTTGTACTCAGACTTTTTGAAGCCGAGTCTCTTGAATGTTGTGGTGAGCCTTTCATACCATTACTTTCCAGACTGTTTCAAGCCATAGAGGCCTTTCTTTAGTTTACAGACTAAACCTTTTTGGTTTGCATTCAGGTAGCCTGTCGGTGGTTGCATATATATGTCTTCTGTGATGTCTGCATTGAGGTAGGCTGACTTGATATCTATTTGGTGGACTTCCCAGTCAAGAGCAGCTGCATGAGCAAGCACAAGACGATGTGTCGTTAATCGTGAGACGGCAGAGTAAGTCTCTGTGTAGTCTAACCCATATATTTTGGTGCTACCATTTGCGACTAATCTTACTTTGAATTTTAGTATTTTGCGGTTTGGTCCTCGTTTTATCCTCGTCACATAGTGTGAGCGGATGACATTTGCATTTGGAGGCGGCTGCACTAGATCCCAGGTATGCAGTTTCTCAATTTGGTTTATTTCATCTGCTATTGCAGTTAACCACTGCGTCCTATGCGGTCCGTTTAGCGCCTTGGTGATAGAGGGCGAGTTGTTTTCGGACAACTCAGCAGTTGTGTTAGCCACTGCCATAGTGTACAGGTGAGTTGTGTCCTCGATTTTGTCTGTATCTGACAACCATGCGAGATTTGTGTTCCCATTTTTGTGCAGATTCTAATAGAAGCCTGGTGGCTTTGGTTGACCACGACGCGGACGCTCCTGGACCTTGATAATGGGATAGATTGGTTCTTGTTTGACCGAATGAGGTTCGTTTGGCTCGTTTGGCGCTGGTTCGTTTTGGGCTGGCATTGGTGCCAAAAACATAGGTGCATTGTGCTTGTGTTCCTAGTTTGCTAATCTATTTGTTTGCAGGTGGTTTTGGTCCAGTTTGTTGACTGCATCAAGCAGGAGCGGGTCGTTTTGTGGCAGCGGCTCAAGTTGCTCGTTTGGATTGAAAACAATGTTGTGTTTGACGGTTATGGTGCATTTTTCTCGCCGATATATCCTATAACCTTTTGACTCATTGTTGAATCCCACCCATTTACCTATTTTAGCCTGCGGTTTGAGTTTTCCCACATCAATGGCTTTCACATAAGCTGTAGATCCGAACTCCTGCGTATCATTCAGGATGGGCTTGTCGCCAGTGGCCATTTCATATGGCCTTTTCCCTTTCAAGGTTGTAGGTGATCAATTCTTTATCCATACAGCATGTTTTACCGCTTCTCCCCATAGCATTTTTGGCAGACCCGACACTATCAACATAGCATGAGCAAGTCCCAGTAGGCTTCAATTTAGCCTTTTGGCAGTACCGTTCTGCTGCGGCAAATCATGTACTGTGAGTTCGCGGGTTGTCCCTTGCTGTTTCAGGTGCTGATCAAATTCTATGCTGGTGTATTCACCGCCTCTGTCAGATCGTAGGTGTTTGACCTTAGTACCATTCTTTTGGGTACTTAGCCACACTTCAAAATGCTGGTACAAGGCAAGGACTTTGTCCTTGCGTGCCAATAAGTATACATGGGATTCATGGGAATGATCATCCGTGATTATTAACATGTATTTCTTTCCTTGTATGTCTTCGACAAAGGCAGGTCCCCACAGGTCCAAATGCAGGTGTTCTCCATACAGAGTAGCACGAGTGTAGCTGGTTTTGGGAAATGGTTTTCTATGGGCTTTAGCTCTGATACAAGGCTCGCAGAATTTGACAGCAACTGATGGGTCAATTTCAATTCCCTTGGACATTCCTGATTTTATCAAGTGTTCGGCTGCTTTGTGTCTGATATGACCCATCTTTCTGTGGAGTTTGTTTACATTTAGCTTTTGAATCACTATGTTTGCTTAGTGTGTTCCAGATTTTTCTGTTTTGGAGAGCTGATACAGTCCTTCAGATTGTGGTATTATAGCAATGACTTTCCGTTGTGGCAGTGGCGATTTTATCATGCATGCACCATTCTCGATGTGTATAGCATATCCGGCACTATCCATACAACTGGCTGAGATGAGTGTTTGTGCCATATTTGGGCAATAAAGTGTTTCTTGCAATTGCACACGAGAATGGCTTGTCCCGTTTGGTAGATTGATCATAACAGTGCCTTTTCCACTGGCATACATAGTTCAGCCATCTGCTAACGGGATTGGAATAGGATTGATGTGGTTGATGCTTTCGAATAGGTGCTTGTCTGGACAGTAGTGATTGCTGGCTCCACAGTCTACAAGGGCATTGTACGAGGGATTTGATGAGGATGCTCTAGAGGCTGTTGCAACATATGCATATACTTTGTCATTTGTCACACTTTGTGTGGTAGCGACATTTGCGGCTGGGATAGGAGGATTTGTATCCGGTGCTTTATTGGTAGGTTTTCGGCTTTGAGGACGTTGGCCCTCCTTTCCACCACCTGGTGCATAACAGTATTCAACTATATGGCCTGTTTTGGTGGGGCATTTGGGGTTCGAACACTTGAAGTGTTTGTGTCTCTCTTGCCTCGTCATTTTTGAATATGATTTAACAGCCATAGCAGATTCCCCTTTGGATTTTGAGGCTATATTTCTATGATCTGCCTCTTCGGTAATGTGAATGATCAAGTCTGCCGAAGATAGTGGGTGTTTCGAGATGAGAGCTGCAGCAGTGATTGATGATAGTAGAGGGCGGTACAAAATTGGTAGCGGAGATAGTATCATTGCTGAAAAGTCCTTTTCATCTATCAAAGCACCCATGCCAGCTAATTCTTCTTTTGGCCTTAGCATATCCCCCAAGTAGCTCCTGATGTTGCCGCTTTCAGGACATCTAAGGTCCTGCAGCCTTCATTGGATATCCACTTGCATCATTTCTGACTTGCCTTCGTGCATTTTGGTCAGAGTGTCCCATATTGCAGCTGCCGAGCTCCTGTCCTGTATCTGGATTAAGGTCTCGTCATGTATGGTTGAGTATAGTTGTTGTGTGACGGGGCACTCCTTTTGGGCATATTTGTCCACTTTAGCCTCATAATCATCTATTTGCTTTTCAGTTATTACTGTTCCATTATCCAGTTTAGCTACACCTGCCGAGTCGTACTTGTAATTTTTGACAGGTGGCTTCCTGGCAGATCCTAGTAGAAATCTAGACAGTCCTTTTGCTCCGACAGCAGTAGTGACTCTTGTCTTGTATGTAATCCAGTGCAAACCATCCTTTGCTAGTTTAGGTACTTGAAAAGTAGCACTCAAAGCATTGCTGGTGAAAGACATGTCACCAGGGCTCATAACCTGATGTGATGACAAGAACTGTAAATGAAAAGACTCTCAGTCTATTCTGGTAAATGACTGATATATTATTCAAATGTACCTGTAAATGAAAAGACTCTAAAGGAATGTGTAAGTATGTGTTTAACTGTAATAATGATGTTACTATACCTCAGTCTTTCTGGTAAATGACTGAGGTGTCTAAGGTAGGATGAGTGCACTTTTCTGTATCCTAATTAGGAAACTTATGTAATATATCAAAATGTCGGAATAGTTGAATGAAAACGAATGAAAGAATGGCAAATCTATAGTAGTGTCCATGATATGCCAACACCAAGTCCCATCAGTGCCTGGAAATATTAATAAATTCTTTAGTCAGGATCATACCTCATCATGAGGATACGGTTCCTGAACATGCGTGACACTACCTATTATTAGTACATTCTCTCACCTGCTAATTAATCCCTGAAGTCGTATGACAGTTGTTCTTTTTCTTATTGGATAGTTTCATCCTCAGACCACATTTCCTTTTATTTTATTTCTGGTCTGAGAGATAAACAATTAGCTATAAAAACCCTACATACTCATGTATTGTTCTTTAGCTTTTTATTACTTGAATAACCCGCTCTACTCCTCATCAGAAACCCCTGAGTTTACTCTCAGTCCTCTACTTGCTATAATCTCTAGCATCTGTTGACCTCAAACTCATTGTACCTCTTACTCCCTGCAAGTGCAGTCAGAGACAGGTGTTGTTTTTGTTATAGTTTAATGTTGCCTCACAGGTGCCCAGCCACTGGACTGTTGTGATGTTTATCTATAGCCTCGATCCTTGCAGATTCAGATTCAGGCACATAGATTTTGTCTTTATAATGCAAGAGCTTATCTTCCCATAAATGATGTTTATTGTCATCAAGGTGCACCTTCTCTTTTGATGAGATGTCCTTCTTGAAGACTTCTAGAATATTAAAATCCTACCCAACTCATAAATTGGAAACCCTGGATTGATCTATCAGGGTAACACCTTTTTTATCATTTTTGATGCCGTTGGCATGATCCTCTCTTCTAGATAAAGCATCCGCTTTTCTCATAAAAGTTCCCGGCTTATAAATTAATTTATAATTAAACCTAGACAAGTATACTGCATAGCGGGCCTATTGTCCTGTCAGTGCTTTAAAGCTCTAATGATGGCCAGCATCTCTTTATTGTAAATGTGATAATTGCACTCTGTAGGTGACAAACTATGCAATAAATAGGCATAAGGCCTCCAAAGATTGTCGGGGCATGTAATTGACGGAACAGCCCCAGTAGCAAAATCAGAAAAGTTGGTTTCTAGCCAGAAAGCTTTGTTTAATTCTGGAAATGCTAATATAGACACTGTTGTAAATGCCTATTTGAGTTATCAAAAGCTTCTTGTTTTTTGGCGCCCCAGTGCCAAACAATATCCTTTTTAGTGAGATCATTTAACAGTCTTGTTATCTTTGCGAAGTTTTCAACAAACCTTCGGTAGAAATTGCCTAAGCCAAGGAAAGTCCAACCTAAGATTAAATTAATCTTCCCTAGTTGGGTAGCTTCAGCAGTGACTCATTCTCTGTGGTCTTGGTACTCAACAACAAAAGAATATTTGTGTGTAGTGTAGCCACCCATGTTAAGCGTACCGTCAATATTATAGATGGGAATAGACATATCTAATTATACAAGGGGGAGTCTGACTTGCTCCGCCCAAACCTAATCTATAAAGATATTGTTAGCACCTGAATCAAGCAGTGCACTGATTGGGTGCACAATGCCCCAGGCAAGGCCTTCCACACCAACATCTAAACAGATTTCTCTTTGGAATAAATATGTGTGCATCAACACATGCCTTGGGATTTTGGTAGAAGGTGGCTCCAAAGAAGAAAAAGAATCATCAAAAGAAACATGTTTTTCTACTTTAGTATTTGCTATACTCCTGGGGAGACACTGGTGCAGCAGTAGTATCATAAATATTACAATCGCATTTTTGAATACAAGTACATACTTCTGATAATACATGCAGAAATCTATTTACAAATTGGAGAGCCACCCCCTTTTCTTTATTGCTCATGCAACACCCTAGAGTAGGGGCCACCTTGTTGTGATTTACTTCATTGTTCATAGGAGTGAAGGCACCCAAGTAACCTAAGCTCCAAATTCTTTTCCCTGGGCCTTCATTTCACTGACCTGTTGATCATACAAAAAAGCCTGGATTTTGTCATAAGAACACAGCCAGAGTATTGAGCTGATCATCTGGTTTTTCTGTTTCTAATTGATGCACCTGGCACCCTTGGTTATTCTTTTGTTGGGTAGCCTGCACCCCACTTTTACAGTCCTGGGACATATGTCCCTCTTGGCCACAATTGTAGCAGTTCCCCTTGAATCAGTGCATCTGTCCACCTTGGACAGCGCCAATATCCATAAGGGCTCCCTGCCCTGGTGGCAGCCCAAAAGGCTTGAAACTGTGAGAGTGATTTTGAGTTTGTTTTGATGACCCAGGGTGCCTCTGGGAATAGTTGTTTTTGGTGGTGGTCCCGCCACCAAATTGCATGGCATTGGCCCTACCAATTTTTTGAACCTCCTCAGCAGCTGTTGTGAAGTTTTTGCTGTGCATATCCTGTATGTAGAGCTGTTGTGCAATGGCTGGTGACAAATTGCGCTCCAACAGTTCCACTGCGTGTTCATTTCCAAGACCCCCTTGGATCAAGAGAGCCAGGAACCGAGTAACAAAGTCATCTGTCCTCATGTTTCCTTGCTTGGCAGTACAGATTTTCTGGTGTGCCCAGTCATGCTCAGCTTGTGGCTTAAAATATTTTTCAATTTCAACTTTTAACTTGTCCCAGGTAGGCCAGTGACCAGCTGTGTAGCACTCCTGGAGTCTTACTTGGGCGTATCAACCTGCCACAGGTCCTTTGAGTCTTTACAGCACTGCTGTCACTATTTCAAAATCATCAGCAAATATGTCCCAGTTTGCTTTGATCCAAATTTGGAGCTTAATCCACTATTCAGCAAATTGAGCCTGTTCTTCTTCAAAAGCACCAGGGTCAGCAACAATTTCGACTTTTGGTTGAATTTCTGCTCAACCACTTTAGGGGGTTTGCCTGAATCTTGGCGAGCTGCATGGTCAACACCATAATCTGTGCACGCATGTTGTGCAACTGAGTGTTCATGTCGGGTTAGGTGGGTTGTGACAATATGTTGACTTATTCTCTTGGTAAATGTAAAAAATGTAACTGGGGGTCCCCGCTTGCTATCTGCAAATAAACCTCTTCCCAGCTGGATATTGGATCTCAATCTCCAACTACCCACACTATAGTATATGAAAACATATATAAAAAGTAATGTAAGAAACCCTGGTCCGAACAGTTGTCAGGGGGTGGTCTGCTTGTTAAGCTGTCAATGTAAAGGTTTCACCTCAAATCAAACCACAAGTGCACAAGACCTTGCTTTATTGCTGTAATAGCTAGTACAAGGTATGCAACATAGTGGTAGTGATTTTAGATGATTGTCTAGATAAGGTTATTACATAATGCTAGAAAAGCGGAAATGTGGCTGTAAGTATTAGGTAAGAACTAGGAAGGGTGCCACCCTTACAGTCAACCCTTCTCCAGACTGGCGGAGGCAAGTGCCCAGCCTGGTCAGAGGAAAGCAAAGAAGAAGTTTGTATGTCAATCTAATCAACAATAATTCCACACTATTGTTGAGCTAAGGTACTCCCCTTAACACTGGGGGGCATGTATGGTTTGGTTTGATTCTCTCTAGCACCTTATCCTGAGGAGCTCGCCTGCAGGATTGGGGCACACACTTGGTTTCCACTAGCTAGCAAAAGCTCAATACCTGACTGGCGCCCAAGTCTTACTGTTCAAAAGACTTCCACTTAACCCTGTTGTCTGGGTTTGCACAAAGTGTGATAGAGTAATAAGAGTGAATCCTAATGTTACAACCAAAGTTTGTATACTCTGGTGCACAACAAGACAGGCAGAGAGTGGTGAGTGGAGGAGAGGATAATCTCCCTTATGGCAGGACCAAGTTTGTTGTGGGTAAACAACAGGAGAACTTGCTGAGGAGTCTCCTTGATCTATTGGGGTATTTATACTACTATAGACTATTTGTATATGTGTACTATACAGTTTGATTCAGGCAGTGGCTGATGATGTCATAGGATGCAGCCCGTGTGACCAGCTCCACTGTGTGAGAGACTTGTAGCTAAGAATAAAGGAAAGCAGCACAGCACAAGAAAGTGGAGTTTGAACAAAATAGAAGTGCCACATGGCACAGTGTGTGAAAACTATGAAAGAAAGTTAAAGTGGAGAATGAAATTTAAAGTTCCAAAAATTGTGTATTGTAACAGTCCCATGCCATGAGGGACAACTCCTATGATCCTAAAAGGAAAGTGTAGTTGATCTGTGGGAAATCATAATACTTTGGAGTCTATGTAGAGGAATGCATGTGTGTGGAATGCTGATTTAGGTCGTTAGTTTAATATGTCCAAAGACCAAAAGGTGCAAACCCTGCAGACCCTGTGGACTGTTGAATATCATTGCTCAAGTTGTTGTAGAACTGGGTCTATAAGCTGGGAAATAAAGGGATTACAATGCCAGCCTCTATGGTAACTCTACACTGAGTATACTCTATACTGTGTGGGGAAAAAAAGTATAAAAGCCAAAATGCACAACCTTGATACATTAGGTAAAACCAGGTCCAGGTCTGCCCCAGAGGGCAATGATATTCTTAGTTGTGAATACAGCTCCTCTAGGCATGTTTTCAATTAAGTTGTAACACTCTGCAACTGCTATCTTCTCCCACTGCACTTGAATCCTCTCCCACAACTCCTTCATCCTATTAAGAGGGTATTCATACTCTGCAAGCCTCCTCCTGAGATAACCCCACCCATATAACAAATCTAAGTGAAACTCAGCCGCTACCTAAGAGGCTATAGAAATGACTATATTATTTACCTATGTGAAACTACAATGGATGTTAGTTTAAGGTGA